TTTTGATGGTGTTTGCTGAAGATGACAAAGTGTCAGTAATTTCAACAGCCACATTCTATTCATGTTATCCTACCTTACCTCCTTTTTATATCCCCGTACCTGATTAAAGTTTATCTGTCAGCGAATTGCTTTCCAGCTGTATATTTTCACATTTGCTGACTATACGATTTAAACAATTGGTTTCCGTTCGGTTCTACATAAAAGTTTGCATGCACATAGGTCAAAAAGCAAATATACCTTTGTTGTATCGTTTTCAGTCTTCTGGGAAATCTGCAGGGGATTCACTGCTGACAAATTTTCGATTTATTTGAAGGCCTTAACAACAGACATATTGTTACAGACATCTTATTCACAGACGGTTGAATATTCCCTCGAGGGGTAAAACGCGCAACGCTGTACACGCAGTCAGGCAGATTTAGGAGGTTGAAGCACGCTCAAATAACGTTTATCAATAGATGATTACCGTCGGAACCCAATGCGCTGTTCTATTCGATGCAAAGTCCTGCTAGGCGGTTATCTCCAGTAACATTTAGTCCTGGAAGAATGTAAACATGTGAATGTCGCCGAGATGGGACTGCACACTGCTGAAGATAAGACCTTTCACTTTTTAGTCTTTTGGCTATCAGAAAGACAAAAGTTCATGCAGTCCACTACCCGCCTCTTACGGTGAATGAACACAAACACACACGGCTGTCTAAATGTGCCTGCCTTACGTCAAAGGTAGTAAAGTGGGTTTTATGGGCTGGGCCTATGTAGGCGTAGAGGAATAGCAAAATATGTATACGCAACTGGTAGATTCGTTTTTTTTCGGGCGGAAGATTATTAATGAATTGACATATAACAATCGAAAGCAAGCAGGACAATTAAAAATAAGCACCAGTTGTCTTCTTCGATTGCTTCTCAATTTTGTGGGCTGAGTCCATTGTAGATAATGCTCTAGACTGTCTACAACGATCGCTTCTCAAATCTCTGAATTACGTTCACAGTAAGTAATGCATCAGATCGTCTAAAACGATTGTTTCCCAATTTTCCGAAGTGAGATAATTGTAGATAATGAACCAGTCCGTCTACAACAGAAGACCCAATCTTTTATGATGAAACACCAAACCGCAATACTTGTGTCGGGCTACAACCCACGTAAATAATTATAGTAGGTATTATTTTTATGACACAGACGCTTGAGGGTCTTCACCTGATCCTTCCCGAATGCTTTATATCGACTTTGCCCTCCAAACCGTTCTCCTTTCTGGATTCTGGATCGTTCACATTGCATGCGGGGGCTTGTCAGTGGTTGCCTTGCAGCTAAAGATGAAGCTGGCAAATACATGCAGCTACTTGCTGTACTTGCCCAATTTTTTTCATATTCTTAACAATGTCAAGTAAAGGGCACTTTCATCAATTTGACGCATTTGTATGTATAAGGACACGCCGCATGTCGATGACTAGATGGCGGCTGAACACAATAGTATCCTAGTCGTTCACAGAACTGAGCGAAGACTGTGATGATTAAACCAAGAATGTTTACTGGATGTGGACTGATACATATTGTGTGGAATCGAGGTGGTTTGTGTCGACTCGCACACACTGCTTATTTCTGTCAGTCACGTCACCCACAGTCTCACTTCCGCTCCTGCTGACTTTACCTTGTTATCAGAAGATGGGCCTTACTCGTATGGGCGTGCTGGCCGTCGTCGTTCGTGACAGTGATACAATGAGATATCTCTATGCGTGTGTAGGCATCAGTAGGGAGTTTTGTGCTACTAAAACCGATCAGGACAATTTTCACCTCCAACTTGGTTGGTTGGGTACACGCAGCTCTACATTTTGCGTTCGCTGCCGAGGGAGGTCTGAACGAGTTATCATGAGACAAATATATCTCACTGCTACCAAAGTAGATAATAACCCCAGGAAGCATTGCATGTGTGTGGGCGCGAGCTGGTGTCTGCCAGGGCGTTGAACGGCTCAGTGCAGAGGAATTGAAGTAGTCGCAGAGCGACTTCTGTACGGCAGTCTGTCAGTCGCGTGGTCTGTAGCTTGGCAAAGTGGTCCTAAGCAGTACTATGAGGAATAAGCAGATAGGCTTTGTGCCCTCGGTACGTCAGCGGAGGTTAAAGGCCTATAAACCGCAAAATTCATAAAACAACCGTAGTCTCCAGGGGATCATTGGATTTGTCCAACTTCCCGTAGGTTTTAAATGATGCCTCGTTGAAACGCAAATATGCATTCTGTCGCGTAGACACAGGGGAGCATGACAACAGGATTGACGATAGCATTGACAGAGCCGTCGCGGCAGCATCTACTAACGTAGCCACTTATCCCCATGTCGAAATTAGTTGCTTTGCTCAACCTTCCAACCTCGCACTTTCCCACAAACTCCATGCTGCCAAAGTACTTGTACACACGCCGAATGTCAGCGGCCGATATCAGGAGCGGAGTCCATCCTCCATCATTACGCTGAGATTGAGCCAGGGTTGAGGGACGGTTATATAGGCTCCATCAGGCCAAGTGGCCTTTTGGGTAGTCGTTGTCACTTCAGGAATCACCAAGTGCATGCGTGCATGTATTTAGGTTTGGTGTTTCTTGAAAACATTTGATATCTATAGTTTATCATCCCCCAGCCAAATAAGATGGCGATGAAATGAAACTCCATTTTGATGCGTTAATTATATTCTGCTGTCAGCTAAATCTAACCTGGTATCTCAGACCTTTTGATTGGCCGGATACCGACAGTAGTTCGGAAACGATCTTGACTAAGAACACTTTTCACCACTCTATTTTTACCTTTATGAGGTAAAAGGTTGATTGACTAGTTCGAGTCCCCACATACCTGCTGGTATACACAACCGTCCACTGTTCCGCAAGCTCAATGGCGCTATGAAAATCAAACTGGATTCTATTCATTAACGAAAAAATCTTTGTTCAAACTTATCGAATTGTGTGGGAATAGAAATATGCGATCTTTATGAACTTCAAATAACTCTCAGTATATTCGGGAAAATTAAAACTTAGTAGGTTATGCTTTGCTAGGTAGTCTTGGGTGGCGGCGTAATGAGAGGCAAAAACTAGATGGCGCAGGCATATTACCGATATCATTCAGCGACATCGTCATAGTGATTACAGTTATCGACTGGCTACATTCAATTAGGATGTCCGCAGTAAACACGGGATGAATCCAATCGTTTTTTGAGGACAGCGAATGTCACTGCAGCCAATGCAGATTTTCCCAGACGATTCAGACGATACTTTTAAACACGCATTCACTAAGTGTTTACTGATCTGAGAAAACATGTAAATATCGTGACAGGGTGTCAATTGCCAGGTATTTATGTTTCAAATCAGGGGCCCAGTTGGGTGAGAAACCGTCGGCTACTTCTGATGCGAGGGGAAGGCAAACTCAAATAAAGCTAAGAACAAGACTATATCGGACGCGCCGGAACAAAAAAACGCGAATAGCCGAACACACCGCAGCGGTGCGAAGAAATGGCGACAGCTCTCAAGTTGTAGCTCACTCAACGAGATCCAGGCAGACATTCGAATTCGAAGAGGTCGAAATTCTCGCAAGAGGTGACAATTGCGTGAGCCGGAAGTTGCTCGAGTCAAGGTTTACTGGCTCCCAGTTTATTACTAAGTGCAATTACCTCCCCCTTTATAGTCGGTGCTGAGAGTTCGCCTAGGCGGAGTAATTAGCCACATGGGGAGCGCACAAGTGAACACTCTTCCCAGCGACAGGATCGGCGGGCCAGATGGTCGAGCAATCACCACACCAGCATCGAACACACGTGATGTAATCGCAACAATTAAGGACGCAAATGTCGGCCATCAAACAGTCATCATACCAAGTGCAACGATCCCTGATGAAGCAGGAGAGCAGTGAATATTCATAGGAATGCGGTAGTATAGCGACTGCATCCTATAAATACTGCAGTTCCTTTTGCATGAGCCACCTGTGTCTGCTTTTGTCTCTAAGATAGGGTTCGAGCAGGAATTCAAAACGTCAAACTTATGAAGTTAGCATGTAATGTAGCCGCTAAGTTCCCGCAAACGTTGCTGGATAACTTAATCTCTTTCTCTCTCTCTCTCTCTCTCTCTCTCTCTCTCTCTCTCCAACAATGCGATATTTACTGTCGACATAATATTCTTTGTAACGTTGGCAAGGCACTGTGGATTTGGTCAACTGAATGTTTTAGACATATGGCTAGTAGCCTAGGTAATGACTGTATCTCATGTGAGCGCATACATGCGCATAGTGAGGTGACCTCCCGGCAACAATTAGGTGAAGGGCCTCACTTAGTCGTCAGTAGACTTTGGATCGTGTCGTACGGGAACGGTGGCCGTGGGGGTTTTACGGGCGGGGTAGCACGTCGGACAGGAAACTGACGAAATGCGAAAAACACTGAACGTGTTTGGATGTCTGCCGAATGTCTTATTTCACGCCTTCCTATAGCAACGGAAATGAGTGCCTCACTTAAAAAAGGGACATTAAACATTGAGCGATAGTTCGAGATCAAGGGAAGCAATTGCTGTTGGCAGTGTAATGACTGCAACCGCCTGCAAATAGATTGCAAGATAAAACGCCCTGTTACACGATCCACGGTTTGCGGACGCTTAAGTAGGGTCCTTCACACCTCCCTTTCCTTAATTTACAGCCATCAAATTGCCGAGGTGAAGTATGCTACTCACTCTGGACTTAACCCAACGACCGTATCTTGGAAGTGGTGTAGTAGGGAATGAAAAAAATTGTCACATGATTGCGGCAACCGTCAAATGGCAAACGCCCCTTGGTGTTGGTCCTGGATTCTGCATTTGCGTAAATGAGATCATGTGCTTTCTAGCATCGGCGACCAATCCTCAAGCGTCATTGAATTGGATTATTGATGGCATCAGAAGTGCGAGCAGCTTGGCCAGTAATGCTTCTGAAATCTGCGAGCCCTGTATCAGTTTCCCAAAGCGGAAGAAGGTGTCGTTACAAGACCAATTGGGGTTTATTCAACTTTGAACAGTCAAATTCGGGTGTAGCGTCGAACACAAACCAGCTCCTCCAGTCGTGCAGTCTGCAAATTAGAAAAGAAATGCAAAAAATGCTGCTTATTATACTGTGGCAGACATTTCAATTTGGCTGAAACCTGTATGCTTTGCTACACTAATGGCGGGCTTTTATTAGGCCATCAACCTCTATGTCTTCTGATCGATGCCATGAGCATTAGAGTTTTCTGCAAGGCTTCTTGAACCGACGGGATGATTGCGATTGTCGTAATAACGCAAGTGTAAAAGATCCTTGATACTTCCCTAAGACGAAAGCAGTTTTGCAAGTTCAAATACTACACCCGGCCGCATTAAACGGCACTGTTTAAGTCTGTCGTGCGGGTACGGTTTAGGTTGAGTAGTGGCCACAACAACGTTCTTGCGAATTTTCATGATAAATGTATTTATTGCCACCCTATCTGATGCTACCTGACCACAGTCAAGTCAGGGCGCACCAATATTATAAAGTTGTCAGCAACAAAACACTTTCTGCCCGATTCTCATGATGTGTTTGCCATTCAATTGAAGTGAGCAGTCTCCTCACAGCTACCGCAATAAATAACACTGAGAACAGTTGAAGGCAAATCATAAGAACAGCGCAGCTGTACTAGCCTTTTAAGGATTTTCATAAAATCCGTAATGCAATTCAGTCTCTCGCAGATAGCAATCACATTCGCAACTGTTTGGCCACAGATCGCGTAGACCAGCATGTCCGTTTGATTACCCTATCATATATTTGTCTATACATTCCGTCTTCTGTCAACCTTGTCGATCACGCAAATCTACTCATTTGCATTTTATTTTATGTGAAAAAAAGAAGTATAGAAGGCTTACTTACCATTGTTAGCGTATTGCCCTCCACCACACTCTCCATGGTCATAAGCTTGTCTCCCTTGTCAACCTGTTTCAGCGTCTTGCCTTCCAGTGTTACTTTTGTCTACAATAATGGGAAATGTAAGAATTTAATTTTAAAACGCCCTTTGTGGTTCGTTTTATGTTACAACTAGTGTCCGTGGGCGCTCTGGATACTCCCCCCTCCAGGTCCGTAAAATAGAAGCATAAATTTGGGTGCTCATGGACTGACCTCATGAAACGGTACCTGAAAGTCGGGGATGTGTTGGGATTATGTAAGTTGCGTTTCGCAATAGATTATTGCACATCGCAATTCTGTAATATTTTGGACACGTCAGGAAATGTACGTTTTTTGAGGCCGGGAAAAATTACGATTGGCCAAACTCGGCCACTTAGATAGTATAGAATTTTTTTAGTTGATTTTTGATGCCCCAATGAAGCCAGATATATTCTGAATAAAATAAGACCAAATCGGTTTTTTTTGAATGCCATGCCCGGGAAAAGGATACAGTTGGTTTCAAAATGTACAATTATGATATAGTTTAAATTCAGTAGGTGCCTATTCACATAGCATTGAATCATTCCGTTTGTATATGCCTATTTTAAAGTATACAGCACTGTCCACATTGATTGCAATCTTTTTTGACTCCCAAATGGTATTTTCCTAATGGCATCGAGGTATTGGGGCGATGTCTTGCATTGAAAGTGAACAGCTTCTAGATTCTAAGGCCGACAAGTAAAATCAACAACAGATATGGCTCGCAGTTTATCGGTAATTGGGAACATTTCGGCGACAAAATCACAAAGACACGTAGTTTGCCACCGAAAGGATAAAAGAAAGCATCCATTTAAACACGTTTTCTCTAAGACATATGCAAATTTATAAGGGTATTGATAAGTAGTAAAAGATTTCACGCTACTTAAACAGCCATTTTTTTTAACCAATTTGAGTTTTGCCAGGCGGCCTCTTGCGCGACAGAAATGCCATCAAATTATGTCGCACGGTAATCAGTGTTACAAATCATTCAAGGAAGCCTTCCTAACTGAAAGTCCATCTCAAAATTTCCGCCAAAATTTAAGGAGAACGGCCACTGGCTGTACTGAACCGGCGGGGCATAGGCATAGAAAAATGCAGATCTATTTTTGTTAATTATGCTTTTGCTAAGGAAACTATAACGCCGTTTCTTTTGCGAAGTCAAGATTCTCATAGTCCACATTAATTCAAAGTTTGTTAGCTTAGATGCATCTGAGAAGATAAGAATGAGCCAGGTATTCTCACAACAGGGCCTTTTGAAGTTTGAATGGTTAAACGGGTGACAGTCGATAGGTCGCGTAAAACAAAGTCATCAGCTGATGATGGACTCCTCACTCCCACGGACATGTGTCACGTAGCACCTTCTTGTGACTAATCCGCTATTTAAAAAATTGCGATTACGTGTGAAAGCCAAAAATGGTGCTTTCTAGGTGAAATAGAATTTGCTTCAATTTAGACAATAAAGTGCACTAAGATGGCAGCGTAGAGCATTCAATGCGCCTGTATATGTGTATCAACAAATGCTCATTTTAACTGTGTGGAATTTGGCTACAGAAGACAGATAGGAAAGGAAATGACAGGGGTTATTTAAATGAACACGGGTTGGCACAATGTCCTTCGCTGTTAAATAATATACATGCCAATAACCTTTCGGATTTCACGTTAGGTTTTTCATCTACGGAACTGTATAACATGCGCGGTTTTGGTGCGCTTTGTCGATAATTACTAAATAAGTTCATGACTTCCACCTGATAGCCTTAGTTGGTGGGTTTTGTCAAAATTCGCCATATTCGTTCTGAAGAACTATTTCCGCTCTGTCCCTTTTGGCTGACATCCCGAGAGACAAACACACTGCCAAACATGTTTTACGATGTGTGTATTTGTCGGAAACACGTAGCTCATCTTGGAAGAATTCTGAAATTTTATTTGCATCCATATTTAGAAGTTATATGGGGAACTTATCAACTATAGGTTTCACTTTTAGCTATGCGTGTGCTTACATGCCTCCTCTGAAGCGTAACACGTTTGGCTTGTCTGGAAAAAGTTTGAAAATTTCTGAATCTCTAGTAATGTTGTATTTTGCCCTTTGGTGTCTTTAAGTATTCCAACAATCAAGTTCAATTTGTTGGTTCTAACAAGTGGGTGTAAGAACTACTTTCAGTGGACAAAGAGGGAGTTTTCATCTTAAATTGCGGTTTACTTTAAAGTATGGAGTAAGCATGGTGAAAATGAATCGAAAGATACTTAACTGATTGATGCATCTAGTGAAGTCTCGTGTGCCTTTGCATTACGGTCGAATATGGTAACGTATGAATTCAGGCAAATGCGATAAGAGTACTATGTTGACTATTATATTTGGTAAAGATTGCTGTAAAGGGTACTCTAAAAGTGCTTGTATTCTGAAGGAGAAGTCATTTGATTTAATGTTGCGAAACAGCTATTTCAGAAAAACCCTCACAGCAAAATGTGATCACGGAACAAATGCTTGCCTTTAAAGGTCGGCCATCAAGTGAAGCGTGGTCGAATTCCTCGCCCAACTTGTACTTCATTTCGTACGTCATCGCGCCGTTGCTAATTTGCATGCTGTAACCATCGCCAACAGGCGAAATTTTCATTATCGAGTTTAGCAACTCGGCTATGTCCTTCAAGGGTATGCTAACCCCTAAGCGATTGGCAATCGGCTCCAAGTCCCCACTGTCCTTCAATTTCCATGATCCACAGAAGGCTTCCATGTGGAGGGAGATTCGGTCGAGCTTGAGGACAAAACGACTTCTACTGTGGTAAGCTGCGCCACACGCATGTATATATGTCAGCAATCGAGTCGCCACCTACGATGTTTTCACGCCAATCGCCAGTGATTTTGGGCCGTGTGTTTGAAACAACTGATGTCCTGGGCCAGTGCCAAAGCAGTATGCACGATTACGTTGTACTCCTACGCGACAGATGTACCGCAATCTGGTTGTGATTAATGTTCATCACGACGCGTCAGTCCTGACCTTCATAACGAATCATTATATTCGCAGAAATATTAAAGGTAAAGTGCGTACTAGAGGTATTTTTGTAAAGTGTGCAATAACTAGAGACAGGTCGCGGCTATAACCACGCCCTATGATAGGTGGTCTTACATTATATTTCAGGGGATTATAACTGGGATTGGCGTTGTCTTAGTGTCATGATTAGGCTTTATTTGTTAATAGTGGAACTTGTTACCCTTGACAGTAGGCATGAAACCACAGGTAAATTCATTGGCCGATCTAAGATGTTAACAGAAATTCCGAAATATGGTTTTGGCAAGGAAAGATTACTTACATGTTGCTAAAAGAATAACTTTGTGCGATATAAAACAGTAATATTGCAGACATGCCAGGATGCCGGCTTTGTAATACACGTTTCAGGCGCTTGCAAAAACCATACTCGGCGAAAAATGCTTACCAAATTTGCAGTTACTTTTCCTATTGACCTTCAATATCCTTATTAAATCGAAAATACTTCATGGAAAATGTAAACGATATGCCCTTTCTGTGCTTAGCCAGCATAGTATGCCGACATCAATTTTACTCTGTTCATTTCGTCTGACGACGGGTCGGTGTCACCGACTTGAAAATTTACGAGTACAACTCAATTTTCCGAATAGCCTTCACTTTCTCATAAAATCACATCTTTAAACTGGATGCAGGGGAAAAGGTTATATCTACGGTAGATGTGCTAGCTTATGACATGTTGACCTAAATCGTGAAATGCATTTTCGACTCGAAAAACTAGTGAAGTAGGGTTGTAATATCTATCACTTTGCAGCATGATCCCATAATTATTCAGTTGCTGCAAGATTCCGAATTGTGGACGAACCTCTTTTCAGCCGTCTGGAAAAAAAATTCTGTAAAACATGACTATTAAAACAGTATGAATTTTTCTCATTTTTTTCATATACGCTCATAAATTAAAATATATTTCTTCGAAAAAATGCATGAAAGTGTTCATTTCTGAACTTTCACGGTAAAGTAGTACATCATTTTTGAATTTTATACTTAAGTGAATTGTGCAGTTCGGTTTCAAAGAACTTTCCAATTTCCAAATAATTCTGCGTCTGATCTGCCGTTAGACCTGCATTCAGAGTCTCCAAAGTACAAGTTGTATATTTTCCATGAAAGGAAAATCATATATAAATTTTTACGGTAGTAAGAGGAGATCGTGCTGGGGTCATAAACTTTTGCAGTGAACTTCAGTCACAATGTAAACCTCAAAATCCACATGAATAAGTGCAGAGACGTGCTGTTTTATAAACGGGCATTTCGCGGTCGTAAAACGCCTCATAATTAGACACTTTTTGGAAACCAATTTTTACAATTTCTTTGAGTATAAAATGTAAAAATGACATAAAGTCCTACATAATGAGTTAAAGAACTGATATTTTCATGCATGTTGTCTATGAAATATACTCGAATATATAGGCGTATCTAAAATCAATGAGAAAAATGCAAACTGCTTAAATGGTCATTTTTTACAGACTGTTCTTTTCCCGGACGGTTGAAAAGGATTTTATTTAAGAACTGGCATCCTGAAGTAACTGAAGTACTATGAGATCATGCGGCGTGGTGATTGTTTTTACAACTCTATTTCAGCAGTATTTCGAATCGTAAAATGTTAACATTTCATGAGTTAGAACATGAATAGTCTTTCACTTTCCAATGGGTTTGATTTCTATGTCTCATTGCATTTGTGTTTAGGGCGTTCATTCTACAAGACACATACCTCCCTTGTGATGAAAATAGTCTATTTCTTTATGCGATTAAGATCATTTTATACAGACCTCATGAGGGTCTGCGATTGATGTTGACTCTTGTGCATACTTTTTAAACGACAAATGCAAACGTAAAGATAGATTCTGGATGATATGAAGTTCACAAACCTCGAAATCTCAAAATCCCAAATTCTTAAAACCTCAATGATGACCTCTCTTTGAGTGTATGACTTGAACAAAACGTGATTTACTATCTAACAGGCACGAGAAATAATACTTTGTAATCTTTCGATGAAAAAATACTTGAACTTGTAGGGTCATTGAAACTCAGAAGAATGACTGCATGATTCATGAATCGTCGTTTTGAATTGCATGCGGTTTTCGAAGGCGGCCAAAAAGAAGTACCCTTTAAAGCCAGCATCTTGACGTGTTTTAAATAATATGGAATAACGCCGTTTGACAGTCAATACTAAAACCAAAGTCAAGCAATATATCCTAGTCGAAACAACGTTCTAGAATTCTTTGTTAAGTTTTCACTGAATTGGCAAATAACTCTATGACAGGCGCATTTATTACCCTGTCCGACTAATCTCGTAAAAACACGCTGACCGTTCCCATATGATGTTTTACTTTACGAGTCTTTTTTTTCCTGTTTCCTTCAAAATGCGTTTCACTGATTTCTCTTTATCCGGTATTGCCTATGTGGGACGAATATAACCTTCTAAGACAAAGAAATAAGATCCCCTAAACATGAGGATGGTTTTACGCCAAATGCTGAAAAATTTAAAAATCCCCGTGCCTTAATCCTGACCGCAGCACAAAACGGAACCCTAACCGTAGCTCTTAGTTTAGCCCCAAAATTGGCCGCGACCCCAACCTTAAACTCAGTCGTAACCTTACCACTAAACTGCAAAACCTCTGGAATAGTTTAAGAATGCCTATACCCGTGTCTCTCTCATAAACCTTACAATACGATACTCTTCGACCACACTGTCTCCCCTCCTCTTTAAACACTTTGATGTATTTGGTGCTCAGATGCGGGAATATTAAATTTATATTAATGTTTATTATAGTTTGTTGGCGCAAAATCGACATATGTATCCTGAATTATCTAAATATATCCTAGAAATATTCGTTTTTTTGAAAACATCGCTTATGCACCGGACAATTTACGATATGTTGGCGAGCCTAAGCAAACATACATTTATTGTACGCATCCCTTAGAAACCACCGCCATTTTAATGAACAATTTTGACTAAGATAGACGAGAGAATAGCTCAGCTGCGCGTCATATATACACATATAAAGTGCCAGGGTATGCTCTATGTCCTGGGTTACTTAATCCGGGGAACATTTCTATTGACGGAAAGAGTTAAACCTATAAAAACGCTACAGTATCACATGCTTTGATCTTCCGCGTTGTCAGCAATTAAAAGCGAGCATTTTATAATAATAGTAAATGCGTTAAATGTCCCTTTTTAGGCACTGTCAAAAAGGCAGTGCAGTGTCATTTTCTTTATATTTTATACCTAAGGAAGGAGTATAATTAGGTTTTAAAAAAAGTTTTGTAATTGCAGAAAAATGTGGAGCCTGATCATTCGTTGCATTAGCGCTTAGTAATTACACTCTACAAGGTGCATGCGTTCCGCGTAAAGAAAATCACATTTTTTTCTATGCATTAAAAAGATATCATACAGGGTCCATAAAATTTTGCAATGGATGCGGACCATGTTGTTCATTTTATGAGGAGCAGAAGTAAACGGCCAGGTACGATGCTATGTGAATGGACATATCGCGGTCTTAAAAAGTCTCATGCTTAGAAATTTTTTTAAAACCCAATTATACTCCCCCCTTAAGTATAAAATATAAAGAAGACGTGAGTCTCTATTGAGTGACTAAAAGAAAGCATATTTTTGTTTGTGTTTTCTATAAAATATATTTGAATTTGCAAGACCATCGAAAATCAATGGGAAAAATGCATGCTACTTAAGTAGTCATTTTTTTACCGAGTACGCTTTCTACAGGAGATTAGAAGAAGTGCATTTAAAAGCCGACATCCTGTTGAGTCCAAAATGTTATAAGAGTATGCCTTATGATAATCAGTATTACACCCTCGACCAAGTAATCCTTCCTAATCGAAAACGCATTTCAGAATTTCAGCCAACATTTTATGAGATAGGTCACGCACTGTAAGTCTGCGATTACACGGAATGCGATGCCTTCATGCGTACTCACACCTGTGCTGGCCGGTGTTGTAGGTCAGAACGCAAGTCTCACGAAGGCTGTCGGCAACGTAAGAGGCTACGTTGACTACACAATAGGCGGAGTATCGCGTAGGGCATCTGGATGCAACTGGCGCACGCAAAAACCAGGAAAAAGCACTGGAGTCGCAGAGTGCATAGTTCCCTTCGAGTTACGCAGCGCATTAAGTTTGGGTGTACTGAAAGTACACTTTTAACCGTGACACTACTTCACGTTCTGCGACAGCGTGCTCGCGCACCTGGTTTGCGATCCAGGCCCTCCTATTCCTTATTAAACTGGCGCCAAGTGCTCTGAGATACAGTGCATTCCTCTTCAGTTAGTTTGATAAATGCAAAATTGTAGATGTCAGTTACGCGCGGACTGGTTGGATGTTAGTTCACACGCCCTTTTGTTTGTCCTCAAATCGCATCAGAGTACTTGCCACATAACTTTAGGGCCGTCATGTTATGGGGCAGGCGTGTACAAAATATTATCATAACCCTGAAATATGTTAAACTGCTCTGCATATTCAACCCCGGAATGCCTGTAATATATCTCGGACCCCTGTTGGCGGTGTGTGAATATTAAGCGGTTTTTCCGCAGTAGCTGATGGATTTCAGCTCAACTATTCATATAAAAAATTTGGAGCCTGCCTGAAAAGACCCGTTTCGAAAAGATTAACTCCAAGTTCGCGCATTAATTTCCTCTGAAATTAAACAAAGCAATAATAAAGTGCACCTAGTTACCTAAACG